GGAGAGAGAGAGAGAGAGAGAGAGAGAGAGAGGAGCGAAGGTGTGCATGTGTTTACCAACAGGGCGAGGCCTGAAAAGCATTTTCACCCACCCGATTTTTCTTTTCCTTCTTTTATTCTCCGTTTCCAAGCCACGCAACCGCCCGTCCGCAGAGAAGACTGAAGGAAACATCAATAAGAAGCAAACCGGCCCCTAAATTGCATATCTACACTCACATCCGCGTCTTTACATCTCAATACAGAGGTTGTTTCTGTGCCCCAGATGAGGCAAAAAGCGGCCCACTGGGAGACTCAACGTGTTTTCAGCCTCGTCTTGTAGCTGCCCCCTCCCCTGCACCGAAGTGCCTTCACCCTCTCAGACGCCGACGCAGGACCCACGACGGCAGGCAGTGCGTCATTAGGAGCACATAGCAGGGCGGACGGAGACGGAAGTTTATGGGATGCCTTTGAGCGAGCATTTTTAACTGCCAAATAAATTGACAAGGCTTGTCCTGGAGTGCCCCTTTCCCCCTCCCCCTCCGCTCCACTCACGACGCCAGGCGGCTGCGCAATTTCCTCTGATGTTTAATCCACAACGGCGTCTGTGCTGCAAAACACCACACAACCCTTTTCATCAAGAGTGAAGCAGGTGTGTGGACGGTGAGGCTTTAACCTTTCGTTGGGTGACTGTTTTTTCATAACGGTGCGCGACGCCGTGTCGTACAAAACCCCGCCGCACTCCGTCTGCCAAACGCCCGGGCGGAGGCTTTGCAACTGCACGGCAAGCGTTGACAGAACCTGGGTACTAATCCCAATCAGCTGATCGACGTTGTCATACAGAGAAGGCACGTTCTGTGGCGCCTCGCTGCTATGCTGCACCTGCGCGTACTTCCGCACGCGTCGCGCCGCCTTCTCCTGGGCCTTATTCACGATGCACGTCGCACCACTAGCGATGAGCGGAACGCCCAGCTGAGCCATAGCTGCCTCTGTGACTGCCGGATCGATTTCTGGTCTGTCGCCTTTTCGAAGGACTTTCACCATGGCACGACGCGTCAGACTGACGATGACGGCACCTGTTGCAGCGAACACGCCACGCTGCAACGGCACCTCCGCAATACATTCGGCAAACGCCACAGGATCACCACAAGGGATGCGGGTCCTCGCTGCTTTAACACCATGCGGCACCTTCTCTGCAGGAGTCGGTGCCTCAAAATAGACTGTGCCCACCAATACCACAATGACTTCTTGTGGCTTCTTCTGCGGGGGTAATATATACGCATCTCCACGGACGACACGTAGTTCCATCCGATTTGCAAGCGTCTCAAGCTTTGAAGAAGAAAGAGAGGAGAATACCTCAGCCCTATCCAGAAGTGACCTGTCAATGCGAAAGTCTATCGTTTTCAGGGCAGCTGCTGCACATCTCTTCCATTCCGTGTCGCTCACGGCCTCTGAAAACGCCTTCCATCCAACGCGCCAAAGTTGAGAGAATGTGAGAGCCACGGCGGGATGTTTTTCATCTCTCGCACAGGGCACCTCAGACGGCGCAAAGCTGTGCAATCCAACGGCACCACCACACGAGATGGTTTTCCTGCCGCAATGACCACGGTTATCTCCCACGCACACCTCCCCTGACTGGAGAAAACTAATGGTGTCAGCCGCAAAAACGTCGTCACAAATTATTTCGTTGGCGCACACTACTATGGGGGAAAGGCGAATCCAGAGTATACTAAGCGTTGCGGCATCCAGGCAGCGTAAAATTGGATTTTGAAGCAGGGCCAGTGATAATAAAGGCCGCTCGTCTCTTCGTAACAGCTGCTCCTGCATAATTTCCTTCGCTGCAGACACAGATGCCTTTGGTGATACCTGCCATTTTTTTTGAAGCCTCTGAACAACACGAAAACTCACAGCAAATCCCGTGACGTTGCTCTCACAGCGCATGGTCCTATCATACGGCAGGCCCAGGAATAGGCGTTCTCCTGCAGCAAACTGACCAGCGCCAAAGGTGGCGAGGTTTTGGTGAAACTCGGCGTGCAAAGCCCCGGACGAGGCCCGTTCATCACCAATATTATACACGGAAGAGACGCGGTTCCCCACAGCCTTTGAAAGCCGTCGACTCTCACATAGATCACGCCTGTTCGGCAGCTCGGCGAGCTCCCCAGACACGATCCAAAACAACGACGACATGTTGCAAGGCATCCCACCGTACAGGAGCGCATCCCCCTCCACGTGGACTTCCCACACCATCTTCAGGCGGAGCTCCGACAGAGCCGCCGAAGGCCACTTAGCGAAGAGGGGGCACGACAGCAATTTGCCCGCGTCTAACTTCGGAACCACTTGTATCACTCTCCGCGTAGCTAAACGCCTTCGCGCCACATGGAGCTTAAGGCGTAGGCGGGACTCCACCACGGGGCTAAGAAACATATTGCTTCATATTTTAATTTTTAGTTTTCATTGTTAAACGCAACAAAGCCAAAGAATGGTGGTGCTGAAAAACAGCCGCACACACTTCTCGGCGGGAGGCCGAGCAGCTCCAATGTCGATTACAGGGCGAGGAGAGCAAGCAGAAATTGTAGGGGCACAATAAATAAACAAATGTACAGCTTGCCAACAACAACAAAAAGAAGTAGCGGAGGAGTGACAGCTTCCTGCTGTTGGATGGGGGTGGGTGCACGGCAAAAATCACCGTGTTGAAAAGAAAGGAGCGTGCTGGTGTCTCCAACACCACCAACGCTGAACACAAACCAAATTAAACGAGAAGCGCACATATTTTGTTATTGTTTTTTCCGTTTTTTTTTTCTTTTTGCCAATCGAGCAGCACTCCTCAATGCAGCCAGGGAACTACATACAGAGCGGGGGGCGGGGCGTGCCGCAGTACACCCACTCACAGAGAAAGGAATAAAACAGGAAAGACAACAACAACAACAATAATAACATTAGGACATATATGTGTGTGGAGATAGATAAATATATCAACGTACACATCAAGACCATGACTCATTCCTCAGCGTATCACCGTAACGAAACACTTTTGATACCGCCGGTGCACCACCCTCGAGGTGGCTTGCCTTGAGGGAAAGCCACAAAAAGCGTCTCTGCTCACTTTCTTCAGTGTCAACGCAGTCCAGCAGCTCTTCCGGAGGCACCGCGCGTGAGGCTTGATCGTTCATAAGACATTTAAATAGCGCCAGCTTCCGTATCTGTGTTTTAAGAATAATGGTGTCCTCAAACGCCGAGGCAAGGCGGTAAACAACGACGGGCTTTGCTTGATTGCGTCTGTAGGCCCGCGCAATGGCCTGTGACTCCACCTGAGGGTTCCACCAGCTGTCCCACAATACAACGTGGTTGGCAGCGGTGAAGTCAAGGCCGTACGCCCCAATTTGTGTCGATAGAAGAAGGCAAGTAATGTTTTCGTCCTCTCTGAACTTCTCTATTGTTCTGCGTCGTTGATCATGGCAGTCTCTTCCGCGGATGGTGGAGGAAATAATACCAAACGAGGTCAATATTCGCGAGATAAGGTCCTGAGACCCAACGTACTGTGAGAAAATGATGGCCTTCTCCTTCATTTCCATGACTGACTGCAAGATCAAAATAAGCACCGTCATTTTTCCACTGAGACCCACAAACTCCGCTAGACGACCAGAACTAACCAGTGACAGACAGTCATCTATCAGCTTATTATCGTCCTCTGTAAGTAAATACGTCTGTGAAGCATCTTCCTGTGACTCACTCTCCTCCTCCGCCGCCTCCGACACTAGCTTGTGGGTTCCACTAAGAGATTTATATACACCGGAGATGAACCCCAAAAAGCAAAGCGGATGTGTGGAGAGGTGATAGGGACGGTGATCAGAAGCCCTTATGCTGGTCGTCCCATCTACGACATCTATCCCAAAATGATCCTCCAGCATCTTTTTCTGGACGCTTGAAAACGCGCAGGTGATAATGTAGTCATACAAAGGTGGGAGATCCGTTTTCATCACGCTAAAAACATAGCTGCTCATCCACTCCTGCAGATACCGTTGCGCAGACACGGCGGCAGAAAAGGCATAATCATCCCCGTTAATGTACCGATTGATAGTCGCTGCAAGTTCCGTAAACACACGCGGGGGCAGAACCGAATGGACGTCACTGTTTGTCCAGCCGATGAGTCGGTACAACTCCTCCGCATTGTTCTGTACAGGCGTTCCGGAGAGGATCACACGCGCCGTGCATCGCATGCCCTCTAACCAGTCCTTTAGTTTGCCGCCCTTGGAGGACACACGGTGACCCTCGTCAACAATCATGAGACTTGGACGAAACCCCGTAAGCTTCTTCATAACCGACCGGATGTACTCAGGGTTGATGACAAATACGTGACTTGTTCGTGGCGCCTCCCCGTTGATTTGTTGCTCATACCGCTTAAGTGAAAGCTCAAAGGAGGCGGAGTCCGTCCCGTCAGAGACAACAAACTCTGCAAAAACAAGACCGTACTTCTCCCACTTTTGTTTTTCGCTTAGCCAGTGTGTGAGTACAAGCTTCGGTGCCAGAATGAGCACGTCCCGCGGGTTTGGATCACAAAGGTGCGAATAACACAAGGCCAGGGAAAGCAACGTTTTCCCCAAGCCCATTGTTAGTGCGATGACGCAGCCGTTGCCTTTGCTGAGGCGATCTACAACAAACCCCAGAGCGGCTTGCTGAACGGGGGAGAGAACCCCCACCAACTTCCCAGGGACATGGATGGGAGGAAGGTTGGGGTCCATGGCATTTAGATTCACCACAGTCTGACGCATCTTCTCGAGCAGGTGCCGCTTCGACATTTGCTTTTGCAACCACTGACGCCGCTCCATCTCGCACGTCTGGGACATCAGACCGTTGCGAAGGTAGCAGACAACGCTCACCCGTTTCCAACAGTAGTCAAAGTTGTGAACCTCGGTGTTCCCATGCTCGAGGGAACTGTCAAAGAAGAGAACATCCCCCACTTCAAGACGAAATGCCTTCCCCAATGCTTTGATCGCCAAGTGGCAGCCATCAAACACGCCATCTATCACGCAGAGAGCAGCCAAACCGCTTCGAAAATCACCCTTGTCCGTGTGCACCGCCGTTCGGAAATTTCGATTCACCGTCATTGTACTAAACACCGTATTAAACAATTGATAATGGTGTGGAATAGCAATGCGCTGAAGCTTATAGTGGGTCGGAGCACATTCACAGTACAGTTTATCCACTGCCAAAAGGAATGCTTCGCAGGGGTTGGCGATAGTGCTCCAATTCTTTCTCGTGAACTCTGTCTCACGACATTTGCGTTGAGTGGGATTATTCAGGTAGTCATAGTAGCCCACAATTCCTGTTTCAGGATTTAATTTGCCTCCATTGATGGCCTTGCGCAGATTATTGGTCGTCGCGGCGGCCTCAGTGGCAATGGACGCTCGTTGACAGATGTCCTTTTTTACACCACCGCGGACGTAAATGGCAAGCACCCGTTCCCCAGACTCATCATAGAAGGCGCCGCTCTCCGTCACCACCTCAAAGTCCTTTTCTGACAGGTACTCTGCCATAGTGTCAGTCGCGTTGTCAACAACCTCCTGCCCCGTCAGATCCTCGTCCACCATGTTGTTGTCCTCAGTGCTCAACTCACTACTGCTGATGCTAATACCTCTGCCGCCTCGGCCACTCTCAGAAACGTCTGGCATGAAAGACAAGTCCCTTTTGACTCCATCTACTTTTCGCACCTCCTCCTTTTCATGCGCCATCCAGGGCTGCACGTACAGGCTACCAGACTGAAACATACTGCGCAGCTTGTTACAAATACCTTGGACAGGGTTAATGTGAAGCAGTGGCGCGACAGCGTAGGCCCTTTGGTACTCATCATCTGAAGTTGAGACAAGCTCGGCGCAGAGGTGAACGATACGCAGCACGTAGTCAGCTGGATTATAAAGTTGCCGACAGGGCATCTGGAGAAGCGGGTCCGGCATGGGAAAGTTATGGTTATTTATTCTCTGCCGAACTTCCAAGCGCTCGTCATGCGTCTGCGCCTTACAGTACTCTGCGCAGAAGTCAAAGAGCTCAGCGGTGCTTATTGGAACAGGAGGAAGAATAGTGATTCCACCATGGGGAATACTCGCCAGTTTCATTCCATGCTTCTTCACCTCATCAACGACGGTATCCAGTTCTCCCAGAAACGAGGATGGGGCAATTATGGCTGGCTCCCCCGTGGAGCAAATAGTCTGCAACACCGACTGCAACGTTGCTGTGTTTACATGCGGCAGGACAGACATCACAAAATAATCCCTTTTACAAGCAAAGAAAAAAGAAAGTAACAACAACAACAACAACAACAACAGCAACACATGTAGGATGAGCCAAGGCAGCGGGAGGGGAGAGGGCAACAATAATAATAACAATAACACGAAAACAGCGTTAGTAGTAAACAAATATGCATGGGAAAAAATATTCCCATGCACGATTTGCTCCGTGCCACCTGAGGCCTCCAGCTCCAATTGGCAGGTTCCTCAACCCTCCTTCTTCTCTGCTCAAAAACAAGAACAAAAAAACAGCAAGTTTCGGCCAACCACTGTGAATAAGTCAACGATGGTGCATCCGTCCCAGGCCCAGCCACGGGAGAGAGAGATTGCAGCATCTCATTACTTCTTCACAGCTGACCTGAACTCCTCGTCCTCGCTCATGCGAAATTTAAAGGATGTGGAAAAATCTGGCTTCGCAACGTCGCCAAACACGTCCCGCTCCAGACGCTGCATGGACTCCCTGGCGTACGCATCGGTACCATCTGAAAACACAAATGAGAAGCGTTCCAAACTCTCCGATTTATCTGGATGCCTCTCCTCTTTCTTCTGCTTCTCGTGATGATGCAGAGCAAGATGCTTTTCTTTCCCTTCGACCTCTTCAGCAGCAGCATCCACATAGACTTTGATGGCGCGAGGAGCACCCTCACTTTTCCTGATCTTCTTCTCTGGTTCAGTAAGGAGCCTTGCTACAAATTGCTTGGACTCTGACCACAACACTGAGCCAAACTGGAACAAAAACAAAAGCCCCATGAAATTCACGGCAATAAATGAAAACACACGTCCCTTATATTTGTTCCACATGCCAAAGACTTGTGCGGTGTACCCACCTTTCATTGTGCTGCCATCGAAGCCTGATTTGTTAAAAGCTGAGGCAGACGACCTGACGAGGTTCCTTAGTTCTCCCCACGAGTTAGACATCGCGGTAGTCATTTTCATACTCGACGGGTGGCTCCTCACGTAATTCATTCCCTGACGTGCGTACATGGAGACGGCGGGGTGCCGTGAGAGCCTCAGCAGCATCTGCTTTGTTAAGGGGCCCCACCAAGACATGACCTTAACAAACAAACATCAACAAGAAAAGGGGATAAAAGAACATATGTTGCCGTCAGACATAAGCGTTTGGGAGAGGGTTTCGTCTCGTTCTCTCTCTCCTTCTTTCTTTATTGTGTGCATGTGTGCGGCGGGACATTTGTGTACAGGGATTAGCTTACAATACACCGCGCATCACACACCACCAGCAGAAAGTCAAAGTAAAATGACGCAACTGGACCCACCCAAAAACTGCATTCCGCTGCATCACCTGTAAACTAAGTGACGAAGCCAAACAGTGGGCTCGCACGCACAAAATGCAGGATAAGGCAAAACTGCAAAACACGCCACGCAAAAAAGAAAAAAAAAGTCAATGTTAAAATGCAGCATATGCCTCTGCAGTAGGTATGGCAGGAGATGCGGTACCCCACAGGCACCACTTGTGCCTTGAGATAAATGGCGCAGAAAAGTACAACAAAGAGAGGCACGATGCCATCGACTGATCACTTGCACAGATATGGTCGTACCCACAAACTAATAATTAATAATCACGGTGCTCCAAGACAAATAACTTTTCTCCCCCTTCATTTAAATTTAGACAAGCAGAAACACAGACCTACACACACTAACAACAACACAACAAACTGGGAGGAAACGACTAAGAAAGACAAGGAACCACACAGGCCACTATGAATGCAAAACTAATGAGTTACAATATGAATATAATCATTGAATAGAGCGCGGAAGTTAGCCATAGCCAGGGATATTTGCTGCTTGTAATGTTCCTTGGCCTCCTCGTTTGAACTATCAATACGCAAAACAGTCCGTAACCAGCTAATGTCTTCCACATTCTGTAGTTCGGGTATACCGGTTGAAAGCATCAACATAAAAAGCGTCATTAGTGTACCACCAACGCGTCTCACCACGTTATAGGCATGACATGCCAAATCTACAAAATATACATAAATAGGACTACTCTGCCCTCCCAACATATAGACATACATTGGGGTAAAAATAAAAGGTGCAGTCTCTCGCTTAATGCCAAATTTTCTCTTAAAGTTACCTAGAAAATGACCAAAATCGATATGAAAAAGGGTTCCATCTTGACGGAGCATAATATTGTCATTGTGACGATCACCAATACCCAAGACATATGTAGCCACAGTATATCCAGCAACACTGCAAATAAAATTACAGAGACACCGTTCCACCTCATCTCTTTCTCGGTTAAACTGTCTTAGCCAATTCATGAGCGGTTCCTCACGGAAGGCAGCTTGTGCACCACCATATTTGCGCGTTATGTTTGCCACTGTATCACTGTTAAGAACAACCTCAATCATTCCAACGCCCTCCCCAGTCGCAATGCACCCATACGGAATAATATGAAGGTATAACCCACACGACTTCCAAAGTGAATCCATCAATTCAAGAAGTTGAAGAGTCAATACATCTTGCCGCAAATCATCCCCAGCTTTAAATATCACATAAAACGGTTCACATTCTTCTTGAAAGTTGCGAAATACAAGCCAAAGAGGAGATTTTTTGGAATCCATTACTTTGCATTTACCAATATCAAGACCACAACACTCCATTGCCGGGTTTAAGGGAAGAGTAAAACGACGTGGCAAACGCAGACCTTTGAGATGTCCTCGAAGGTGGTCAATACGATCCTTTTTCGGTGCATCCTTGACCCGCATGGCGCTTTCAAACAATTGATCAGCTACGTATAATTGATGTAAATAACCTCGTCGTTCCGGCATGCGACAAATCAGTTCCTCTAAGAGAAGTCCATAACGTTCAGAAACCGATGTATTCCCCATCTCCGAAACAAGGTACCAAAAAACGTAATGCCCAATCATATTTGGCGATTGTAAAGACCTTTTTAACAAAAATCTGAATAAAGCTGAATCATGATAGGGTTCATGTTTAAGTACTTGTACTAACTGTAAAACACACCCTTTAAGTTCATAATCTGTCATACCATTCAGATATTTTACAGCATACTCCCGAACAACGAGATCCACAAATCGTATATCTAGTAATTCAAGCACATCCATAGGCTCAGGAGGGGTCCATCGTTTTAAAAGACTATGAGCCTCATATGCAGCGTAAGGTTGAAGCCAATTTACTGCAAGAAGAAATTTTGAGAGTGCTCTTGGACGCATAAGAAGTTCTTCTCGATGTTTCCAAAGAAGCACCTTATCACTAGCTGTGAGCTCTGTCAGTGGATCACTCGCGAGAATTCGTTTTAACTGCTTTAATTGCTCAATGTTACTTTCTCTCAGATTTTCATCGAGGCAAAGCTCGCTAGCAAAAAACTGTTGTTCCCAATCATGCCTTTTGGTAGTTGGGGGTGCGACATTCGGAATCAACACTGGTTTATCAAACGTAGGAAAGACCAAGGAAACACCCATATCATTTTTATTGAGATTGCTTGGGATAGGACACATAGGGTTGGCCTTTTTTCTTGTTCCCCAAAGCCGCATCTCTAGCTTCCCTGTCTGCATATAAGTCAGGTAATTAAATAGCTGAACTGATGCAATGCCTAAAAAAAATACAGGCCTCATATGATATTCATCCGGCTTTCTTACCCCAAAACGCTCCTTCGCTTTTTGAACAATATCCTCGGCACTGAGAGAAGTTACAGCACCAAGGCGTTCCCCACAAGTGGCCATCAGAGTAATACACAGTTTGAGTTCTCGAGGAGCATCCGAGAGTAGAATATCAAACGTTAATTTGTTTTTGTTTCCCCACTTAACAGAAGAAAAACTATTAGTCTCACTTGAAGCAACTAATTCGTTACACATTACCCAATTGGTCATCTGAGGTGGACAAACCACTTTAGCACCGTAGTAAACTTCAACAAGCATTGCAAGATAAAGTGTATCTCCCGCACGAACACCTTCCTCCTTGGCTCTTTCCAAACTAAAGACAAGATTACAGAGACTCCCCTCAAACTGGATTCCTAGTTTTTCATGAATGTTCCAAACACTCATTCCCGCAGAGACGTCCTCGGAGGTATCACCTCCATAAATATTAGCGCAGTGTTCCCCACTGAATTTGCTTGGGTAGGAGTACAAAGGTACAAATATGGGATCATTTAAAAATGTCTTCTCATGTGGTTCAACTAGAACATTTATTTCCAGCTGTTGTGTCACACATTCCCTAATGTAGCGAAAGTTAATTAATATCTCATCCCCATACACGTATTCTCTTCGTCCCTGAACTTTAAAAACATGTGTAAGTCCTTGATGTTTACTATTGTCAAAATTTGTTATCGAGAACAAGCGTTCCATGGTAATCAATATTGCTTCTGAAGCCTTCATATCCAATGGAAATCCCCGCAATGTGGAGCATGTACAACCCGCAAGATCTATATACCAAATACGAAGCAAAACTATACCCAATTCCCCGCTACCCATTTTTCTTGAATTCAACTCGGTCAACATTTCCAGCTGCGTTTTTTCCATAGGAAGCAGGATAAAACGATATGGCAAAATACGCATCGCCTGAGAAAGAGACACATTAGGGTTCTCCCTCTGAAATTTATGCCATTCATACTCAAATGATGCAATAAGTTCTCTTCTGAACTCTCGGGCTTCCACACTGCCACCGTAACCGTGTGGTGCAGCACCCAAAACGTACTCTACAATGGCCTCAATTTCAGCCTCTGTGCCAATATCATTCTGCTCAAAAATAAGCGTTTGAAGTGTAGTTGAAAGCAGCGTCACATTCCGTTTGGCTTGTTTACTCTTCTCAAAAAGTCGCTCAAACTCTTCGGAATTTTCGGAGCCATAAATATCATCCGCCTCCAAATCTTCCCTAAAATCAACTTCCCCAGCGTCAAAAAACGCGCTGGAGGAGGACATCTAAATTCACAACAAGAGACACCAAATCCTATATATATAAAAAAAAGGATCAAAACATAACAAGAAAAGATTGTTTTCCATTCCTGATCCTTGTGGCTATTATTGCTCTACCGCCATCTCATCAAATACACTTCGAAATAGCCCATTAAAACGTGAAAAGTTGAAGCTACAAGGTGATTCAATATATAAATAATTATAGTTAAATATAAAGCGTAACAATACTAGCAGTATTATTGATGCAAACAGTAACAAATAGAAAAAAAAACGTTGGTAACGAGAGACGATCATTTATCCCCAAGGGACTAGCTTTCTGTCAATAAGATGTGGACCACAGTATTTTAGCAATGGACGCAAAGGAGGACAACTTACCTCATAAGGTGAAACACGATAATGGGGATTTCTTTGCCTTTTCGTTGCCCT